TGTAGCTTCCTTTTTATTTTTCAAGGTAGCATAGTACTCCATTGTGTGTATGTACCTCAGCTTGTTTATCCACATGATAGAATTTTGAAAGACCAATGACTTTTTAAAAAAAGTTTTATTGTGAATTATGTGACAGTTTACATGGGACAGCGTTAGCTTCACATTCATCCTATCATATATTGTTTCATTGCTCTTCTTTTACTTTTACGTTTAATAAGTTCTTCCCTGCCCAGCGACTCCTAAACTATTGTGAGTCAACGTACCCGTTTCTGTAGCTGCTGTTTCGGTGTGTTACTCTAACAAAACACTGACGTATTTAAAATCAGCTTACTGCTATGAAGTCATCAGAGAAAAGGCTTTCTTTCTCCTTTCCTGTGTGCTGCTCATTAACCCAGTGCTGCTTGGTTTGCAGAGTCCTTGCAGCCCTTTCTGGAAGCCTGCAGCAACACGTTTTTCTTCCGTACCTGCTCTGTGCTCCTGCGGACCCCTAAACTTGATCTTCAGATACTCGAAAAGCTCAGTATCATTTTACAGAAACTTTCCAAAATCAGGTAAGAATTTTGTATTTGCTACATTTTTTATCAAAAAATATCTTATTGTGATTATTTACACTTTTCTGAATTCTGTACTAGTTCAATTTTGATCAATTAAATGAAAATTTTCAATACGCAGATGTAGGAAATTGAGATTCATGAATGTTAATGCATATGTAAGAGCACATTCTTAGTGACAGACTAAAATTAGAGCATTAATCTCTGAGCATCTGTCTGTTTCTGTAGTTCAGTTCAGTTAAATTAACTTTAGGTAACACAAACAGTGCATAAAACTAAGAACCATTTTCAGCAGGCAGGTGGTAATACCAGAAAAAAATCATTGCACATTGGCATTCCACAAATGACAGGAGAAATAATGATGCTGGTAATAATGGGTTTGCATACATTTAGTTGATCTACTATAGCACATGTGTTGTTGAGGGCCATTGAGTTGGTTCCGACTCATAGGGCCCCTGTATGGGGTTTCCAAGGGACAGCTATTGGGTTTGAACCACCAACTTTTGGTTAGCAGTCTAGTGCTTATCCTACAGCATCACACCAGGACTCCAAAGTGCGTTTAGAATGAGAAGAGAATGAAATAGAAAAGAAAAAAGATTTAAAATAATTTTGGTAATTAGGTTTACTTTAGTAATGGGCTTTGTTACTTCCACTAAACTGTATTGTGTCGTGAGAAAGAAGGTCTTCCTTTTGATATTTCCTCACTCTTCATTGTTCTGTCCAACATTGGTATAATTCGGATGAAATGATCAGTTAAGATCTAAAAAATACTGTATTTAATTTTGTTGTTGAGAATATACAACACACCCACGGAGCAGTCAACAATTCAACAGTTTTCACAAGTCCAACTCCCTGACAGTGATGACATTCTTGGAGCTGCCCCTTATCCCTCACCAGAAACTCACTGTCCCTTAGGTTTCATGTCTAATTTGTTGAGTTGATTACTTTGATCCCATATGTTGTTGTTGTTGTTGTTGTTGTTGTTGTTAGGTTCCATCGAGTCGGTACCAACCCATAGTGACCCTGTGTACAACAGAGTGAGACGCTGCCCGGTCCTGGGCCAACCTCACAATTGTTGCCACGCTTGAGCCCACTGATGCAGACATTTTATCAATCCATTTTGCTGGGGGGTCTTCCTCTTTTTCTCTGACCCTCCACCTTACCAAACATAATATCCTTCTCCAGTGACTGGTCCTCTTAACAATATGTCTAAA